CTTCGATTTTATAATAGTAGCAGAACGCAGAAGATTAAAAACCTTGGTCCTTTGAAATACTGTAGCCCAAATTAAGTAGCGTTAATTTTGTTTCAAACCATATACATGTAAACAATAAGGTGTCGAAAATCGTATAGCCTTCTGAAATATAACCCTACATCAGCAATAACTACAGTATACTTTAGTTGTCTGAGTCTTTCTCAACATCGAGAAAAACCCCGGAAACTCAGATAACAGCTTTTGTTTCTAATCTGAATGAGTTGACTTCGTGATCACTGACAAATTGTTCACGGCATGAGTAATTTCAGACAGATATGTTCCCAGACCTGTTTTTGTTCTCACCTTATACACCATAGCGCATAACTACCGGGATTCAAGCTTGTATCAGAATAAAACTTGAACATTGCTTTGTATTATGCTGAAATTTAGAGAAAAATTCGAAAAATTCATCAGTAAATTGGCGAAGTTTTGAATTATTTAATCAATTTTAAGCTGAGTTATCTCTAGTCAAAGTTGCTTCATCTCATAAAAACCACAGAAAGCTCGGGTAACTTTGTACAACCCAGTATACTCATTATTTCTGTTTTTTCGTATGCATTTTTTCAGAACTCCCAAAGATGGATTGAAAGTCTGAAATTCAAAAAAGGACAAATTAGAGATTACGGTAGCACTCATTTTCAGCTGTCTGTTTCTGAAAAAAAGTTGAATGTCATTTTTACAATTATTATATTTTTCACCTGATTTTCATTATCTGTGAATTTTTGAGCCTTTCGCAGGACAGAACATTTCAATTACAAAAAATCCTTTCCAGCTCAAAGTGCCGTAATTCAATTCCCAGTTCTGACCAAAAGTTTGGGCGATTCTGACCTATAATCCAGTACATCTTTCGTTCTCTCCCCCTCCTTTTCCTCTCTGCCTTTCTCATTTTGTACTATTTTCAAATCGGATTTTCCCTCTTCACAACCTCGAATTTTATAGTTACATGTACACTTTCTCTCTTCTTCCTCTTACTCTTCAATTTCCTTCTTCTGCTTATACCTTATTCATTCTGGGTCACGAAATGATATGAACCGAAAAAAAGACCTAAACACAAAAATATCTAACAAATATTTGCCTCGTTTTCTCGCTCGTTTTACTGATCTCTTTGCATTGAAAGTGAGTAACTTGAGTCTCGTTTTCTGCAACCCCAAACACTCTTATCACCACGTTATCAATTCCATGAATTTCGAGTCCGTACACTCATGTCGACACTGAAAAACTGTCATGAGTATCTAAAAAAAGTGATGTTCATTTCTCTTTTGGTTCCGTTTCTCTGTGTGGTCTCTCGTCTTTCAGCGCTATTTCCTACAGTTTCAGAAGCCAATTTACAATGGAAAAAGAGGAAAAGAAGAAGAAGAAGAAGAAGAAAAAGTGTCTATGGTATCGTCATTGATCTTTTTTCTTGTATCAACTGTTACGAGAAAAGAAATAAGATTGATGATGATGTCCCTCTTCTCCCCTTTTTAACACTTTTTTTCCAAGTAGTACTTTTGAGATGATAGGTTTTTATTTTCGTTTTCATTTGACCTTGATTATGGGTTCACTTTCATCGGATTCTCAGTTTTGAGGATCCATTCAAAAAAAACTTTGTGTCTAATAGTAAAATTTCATACGGTAATATTCTCAATCGCAAACCTGAGGGAATCCAAAATTTGGAAATTTTAGAATTTTTTTTCAAACATTCACCGAATTTTCGATGAAAAACTTCAAAAAAAAGCAAAAAAAGGGTTCCCTCTAATTGAAGGGCCTCCGGAGCTTCCTTGGAACAATACATAGAAGTACCGGCCCTTTTAATAAAGATCTTACAGTATGGGATTTTGATTTGTTATCACAGAAACACCGGTACTTGTCTACGAGGTTTTCAAGAATTCAATTTGAATAGGCGAACGTGATCTTCCATTTTTTGGCCATACATATAATTTACCAGACAATCCTTCCACTTTTCAAATCCATCGAATCATCTCCAGCCCATTTAAAGGGGGACTCCGACCAAAAATTTTTATTGCATTAAAATGTTCGAAAAGTTGTATATTTTCCCAATATTATAGCGAAAAAATTCGAAAAAAAATCCTAAATCCCCGAAAAATGGCGTTAAAAGCGAAAAAATTTCAAAAAAAAAGTTGCCAGGAAGGACGATTTTTTCGCAATAATATTAGGACAATACATATTTTTTGAAACATTTTAAGGCAATAAAAATTTTTGGTCGGAGTC